CCCGGCGGCATAGACCCCTCGCCCGACTGCCCGACTGCCCGTGCTCGATTACGCTCCGAAACCCCCACTAGGAGACGAACCGTCGTCACCGTGATAAGTATAAAAGAGCCGCTTGAGATTTTTTAAAGCATTAGTGTCTCGCGCCGTTGCTCGGACGAACGCAACGCATACGAGTAGTTCCTTCCTTCTATATCAATAATGTCGGGACGCGGTAAAGGCGGTAAAGTAAAGGGAAAGGCAAAGTCACGTTCTAACCGTGCCGGTCTACAGTTCCCCGTTGGACGTATACACAGGCTGCTGCGCAAAGGTAACTATGCCGAACGTGTCGGTGCCGGAGCACCAGTGTACTTGGCCGCGGTTATGGAGTATCTCGCCGCCGAAGTTCTCGAGCTGGCCGGTAACGCGGCACGCGACAACAAGAAGACCAGGATCATACCTAGACATCTTCAGCTCGCGATCCGCAACGACGAGGAACTGAACAAGCTCCTGTCCGGTGTGACGATCGCTCAAGGCGGTGTCTTGCCTAACATCCAGGCCGTCCTGCTGCCCAAGAAGACCGAGAAGAAAGCCTAATTAAGGACGACGAGAGAAACAAAAACAAAAACTAATTAAAAGGCCCTTTTGAGGGCCGCAAATCTATTCTGAATGAAAATATAAAATTCAGTTTCTTGGTAACGATATGAACGTCTCATTAATAATAAATAATAATATTGATTATACTGCTACTTAAAAAAAAAAAAAAAAAAAAAAAAAAATGGCTAATGATTAGCGATTAAACCTATAATTAGTTATAGGGAGATCTAGCATATATATATATATATATATATTAAGTATTATAAAAATAGTATTATTATATATAATAGTAATATATATTATATTAATAAGTATTTATAAAGTAGCTCCCGCTGTTCGTACGCTTTAAGATCTTTATTTAATTAATTAGTAGTAGTAGTATTCACCATAATATATAAATAGAGTAGTAAGCAGATAACTATAGACACTAATCATAATATTTTATTTATTAATCACTCAACAATGCCCCATACGTTAGTATCTTCTTACATTGCACCCGTGCGAAACCGGGGCGGGCGGGACACTAAAATAGTAAATGTCTAATATATAGTTTTATCATAACCTCTATAATTGAGATATATCTTACACACCGAATAAACAACGTATTTTGTTTATATATAATTATCATTCATTAACTTATTAATTTATTGTATGTATGTATGTATGTTGACACGATATAAGATTAAGAAAACCGTATTTAAGATGGATGATATAAAGAAATTATAATTTCCTATTAAACTTTAAACTCTATTAAATATAAAATAAGTAATCGTAAAATCCATATTAAAAGAGGCCATATTAAACAGAGACACACACACACACACGGGTCTTCTACTCGGCCTTGAAAGGCCGGCAGGTGCGGGTGTCGAGATATTTCTCATGACCCGGGCTTCTTCTCTGGGGCCTCTCTGTGCCCCCGGTATTTTGGGCCAAAATGGCCAGATGGTGTGTGTTGTTATGTCGCCATAAAAATGGCGCAACACTGTTTATAGGTAATTACTGTTTTGCTATGCGCCGTGATGCTCGGTGAGTAGCATGGACAGCGTGTGTAGGGTTGCGCTTATCGGTGATTGCCCCGATGCCATTGCTTAAGTGCATCCGCCAGTATGCGGATTAATTGTTGGAGTGATTCTGTGAATTCTTCCACAGTTCTAGGGGCTTCATTGTTTTGGCGGCTTTCTTGAGGGCGAAGGGGGCGACGACTGGGCGCTGTCTCCGACCTTTGTTCGATATTTGTTTGACGGCTTCTTTGTTGGGGGGGGGGGGGGGGGGGGTGAGGTAACGCCGTCTCCGTCTCCGTATTGGTGGCTTGTTCTCGTTCTTGTTCGCGGGTGGTGTATGTTGACGGTCTTTCGTCTTGCGATGCGGCCGCGGGTGCATCACGTCCGCGGCGTCTTCGCCGATGGCTTCTGACTCTACTAGTAGCAGGGTTGGCTGGTGGTTGAAGAGTAGTGACTGTTGTAGTCGGTCTTGGTAGGGTGGCTGCAGTGGAGGCGGCGCCGGCGACGACTGTAGAATGCGGGCGCGCGCCCTCGGCGGGCTGTCTATATATGTCCCCCGCAGTGGTTCGCACCGCGGTAGGGGTTTGTAGTGCGGTTGCTATTGCGCTCTCGCCTTCATTAGGCTGAGGGGGGAAGTTTGAGGTGGGGGGGGCTGTCCCCCCGCTTCGGCTCTCTCTGTTTCTTCCTACGGTCGTCCATCCCGTTCTCTCATTACTTATAGTCGGCCGCGGCGGATGGATTGCTATCCCGCGTTTTCTTGCCTCTCTTAGAAACGCGGGACAACGCCTATCGTTGGCTGGATGCCTTTGCCCGCAGTTAGCACAACGTGCGGGGGTGGATAGCGGCACTGGACAATTGGCTGCGATGTGGTTGTCTGCGCAGCGAACACAGACAACCGGTCGGTGGCAATTTGCCGATGAGTGCCCGAATTTTGGCACCTATGGCACTGAGGTGGGCCTGTTCTTCCCTTCCACCCCTCAATTTGGATGCCCGGCATGTTGAGGAGCTCGTTAATATCATACAGTCGAGCTGCCTCTCTATCGTTGAGGCGGTCGAGCTGCACGAAAAATATACATCGGCTTCGGTTTCGTACTGGAGGTATCAGTTTAGCGTAGGTCGCCGGAAACCCTAGGTAGCGTAACGCATTAGTTATGCTCTCCGGGTGAGTCGTTTCAGGCAATCCGCGAATGCCCACTTTTGTGGGGAGGTGTCTGGCCGGAGCATAACAGTACCAAGTTATGCTACTATCATCGTTGGTGGCTGCGATTAAGTGTCGCTGGACAACTCGGTATTCGTGCCCCGATTGGGGTAGAAAGCGGATGCCATTCCCGAAGGCACGCGCGTTCGGCGCGTGTCCGAGCTTGTTTCTAAGCGCCAAAAAATGGTGAGCCCAATCGGGCAGTTTTTCGACGATAATTGGTGGATATCCCTTTTTTGTGGTATCTTCCTCGGGAGCTGCAGGTGCTTGCTCCTCCGTCTGAGCAGATGTCGACGGTGTTGGTTGCACAGGCGATTTTGTAATGGTTGCATAAGATGTATTTTCTCGTACTGTTTCCATGCGCTCGGATGGCGCTTGTACTGAATCGTACGAGGGCGATCTTGGCGGTTGCGAGTATCGCGTAGTGTTGGTGCTCCTGTGTTCGCTTTCATTTTGGTTGTCTTGCGGTGCGGTGTCCATCTCTTCGACGCATTGACGTTTTTCCAATAACGATGCGTCGGTTTCGGGCGGCGTATGTCGCCTGCGGGTCTTCCTGGGGTGGTACGTCTTGGCCGGGGTGGATACGTACTTAGACGCACCACCGTCGGCCTTGACTTCCGCCACCTCTGAGACGCTTGCGGCGCTCCTACGGTATTCTTCTTCGCTGGTCGATAGATAATCTTCGGCTACTTGGTAGCGCTGTGGCTGTGGGCGCAACAGCTGTCTTGGGAGCTCAGCTTCCTCGACGTCCTGTTGGTCCATGGCAACAGGTGTGCGCGTTCTCCTGCGAGGTTTGGGGGGCGATATGCCCTCCATCGTTCGCGGCTCCGTCACGGCCCGTGTTGCGGGCGGAATCGATCCCCAGGCGAGCGATGTACCTTGCTCCCCTCAGCGCGGGCCACTTAGCCGGGTGAGACCCCTAGGGGAGGCCCAGCGAAGCGCCCAGCGAGCGGGGAGAGGTATCAAGGCCGCAGTGTAAGGCGGGATTCGTCGCGCTTCCAAGCGCGCGCACTGCCTGCCCCTTTCCAAGGAAAGGGGGGACACAGTGCGAGGTCGCACACGTAGTCTCGCTGTCGCGGGGGCACGTGGTCTCGGCGAGGCGTGTACGGCGCACACGTTCCGGACAAGGTGGCCTAGGCTGCTCGACGCTTCACGGAGTTAATACCTCGACGTTAGGCGGAGTGGCTTCGGCGGACTTCGGCTGGATGGCTTCAATCACTCACGATGTCGCAGAACGGGCGCTATAATAATAGAAAACGGCGGTCGCTTGGGTGAGGTATGTCAAACCCCCTCCCCCCCCCGAACACGTTCGTCTCACCATCGAATAGAAAGAGATAGATATATATGGTTGAGAGACCGATGAGTGTATATAAAAGTAGGGAAGTAAGGTGTCACTTTTTTTAGTTTCCAGTCACCCGTGCGCGTTAACAGACGTTACACATATCTTTCTCGGTCTTAGTAGTGTTGTTGTTGTTGCTGTTTGTTCTGTAAAATGGCTCGTACTAAACAAACCGCTCGCAAATCTACCGGTGGCAAGGCCCCGCGTAAACAGCTCGCCACTAAAGCTGCGCGCAAGAGCGCACCGGCAACGGGCGGTGTTAAGAAACCCCATCGCTACAGGCCCGGCACCGTCGCTCTCCGTGAGATCCGTCGCTACCAAAAAGAGTACCGAGCTCCTGATTCGCAAGCTTCCCTTCCAGCGGTTGGTCCGCGAGATCGCACAGGACTTCAAGACCGATCTTCGATTCCAGAGCTCCGCCGTGATGGCCCTGCAGGAAGCTAGCGAGGCTTACCTCGTCGGTCTCTTCGAGGACACGAACTTGTGCGCGATTCACGCCAAGCGCGTCACCATTATGCCAAAAGACATTCAATTGGCACGTAGAATTCGCGGTGAACGCGCTTAAAATGCATGAATGGAGGATGATGAATCTGCTATGTTGGGTTTGGACTGTACACGATATTGATTCTTTATCTATATAGTTACAGTTCATCCCTTTCAAAAGGCCCTTTTCAGGGCCGCAAATATTTCCTAAAGCCAGCAATAATGGTTGTTTCATTAGTTTACATAAAACGTCTAAAAATATTTTCACACCAAACACTACTACCGCACAAGCTATTATAACCTAATAGGACACATTTAGTGTACAAAAGATAATATAACATAAAGAACTACTATTACTATTACTACTACTACTACTACCACCACTCAACCACTAATCAATTAATTTACTACTATAATTACATACACGATATAAATGTTAATAATAATAATAATAATAAATAAACGATACGAATGAATGTTAATGCAATTAGTTCATGCGCTTACTTAGTTGTACTTTAATGCTATACCATTATTGGTGTTTAATTAAGAGTATATACTTTT